AGTGTTCAGAAAGTTAAAAGTAACTGAATATCGCACGCCCAAGTCGCGAATTGTCCTGCATTGCGAGATACAGGCACCTTGTAGTAATAAACTTTCTGGCGGTACTTGGCATTTGTACGACAAAATATTACACTTGTCCAGGCAAATGACATCTGCCACAGTTGGCACCAGGAGTCAAGGGCGGATAGGTCATCCTGAATGAGACGTAAGCCTTCCTGAGTATTTGCGCGTGGTTGTGAGTAGACAACTTTAATGTCATCAGCAAAGATAAATGCAACACTATTTCTTATTCTCCGGAATATACCGTTAATATAAATTAAAAAAAGAAGTGGACCAAGAACACTCCCTTGAATCACTCCACTAGTGATTGCTTTCGGTTTAGAGAAATGGTCGCCTATGCGCACAACCTGCTGTCTTCCAATTAGATATGAAGAAAGCCAAGAGAACATAGGTTCTCCAATGCCTATAGCCTTTAGTTTGTTTAGTAACCTTCTGTGAGGCACTCTATCAAAGGCTTTTTGCATATCCAGGAACAGGATTACGACACTGTTTCCGTTGTCAATTGCAGCCGTTGTGTAGTTTAAAAAGTCAGTCTGGCATGTTGCGCAGGATCGACCTTGCATGAAGCCGTGTTGCGAATTGCTGATGATGTTAGCTTTGTTCAAGAATATAAATAGTTCATTTTTCACTATCCTTTCCATTATTCTAGATACGATGGGAGTGTGATTGATGGGACGAAAATTTTTAACCTCGTGGGCAGCTCCATTTTTATGTCGCGGGATAACAACAGAAGTTTTCCATTGAGTAGGGTATACTCCGTCGTTAAAAGAGAGTGTAAACAGGTTGAGCAAAAGCAGAAGGAAGTCACTACCACTGCTTTTTATTAAACATGGGGGAATCCCATCAGGGCCTGCGCACGTTGAAGAGTATAAGCGAGCGACTTGACTAGTGATTTTCGCTATAGTGAATTCCACTGTGTATAGACCTTCATTATTGTGCGGCATGATAAATGTTGATGCATCTGATGATTCAGTGAGCATTGATTCGGCAAAATAATCACTGAAAGCTTCGCAGATATCACCTGGTGTGTCGTAGTATGTTCCATCAGGCGTGGTGATAAAACTGAGATTGTCACTGCAACGCGAACCTCGGGCACGGAATAGTTTGGCTAACTCAGCTGTTTTGCTAAGGCCATTCAGAGCTTTATACTCTTCTAGAGTGAGAGTTTTATCACGTTGATGCCTTTGTTCTTCCACGAGCTTCGACTGCAGTAATAATAGCGCAAAGTCAGCAGTTAACTTGAATTTCTGACGAATCTTATGAAGCTTTCGCGCTGCCTTCAATGCCTTGCGATCGGATTTAGGTTTGGTTTGGTAAGCACATTTTAGTGGTATTGCTGAATCGATGCAGAAGCCGATTATACTATAAAACAGGTCCGTCGCATGTTGAGGGCATGAAGAGAGAAAGAATTGATCCCAATTCATCGAACGAACCAGGTCCTTGAATGAGTCCCAGTTGACAGAATTGAACAGACGATAATGCTTTCTTTCCTGTACATCTGACATGCGTAGTCTTAGACAGCAATTGATTACGCGATGATCGCTCCCCGGAAATTCATCAAGAACGCTAACACTGATTGCAGGTATGCCCAATGAAAAAATGAGATCCAGCGTAGTTTCACCTCTGGTAGGTTGAGAGACTTGTTGCTGCCAACCATTCATTTGGATACAGAAGATAAGATTGTGGTATTTCAAAGGAGTGGTTCCTACGGGCCATGAAATCGAAGGCAGATTGAAATCACCTCCAATAATCTTATGTAAAAATGGTAGGCCAGCAGCGCATTCAAATGCAAGCGTCAAACGTTCTATGTCTTCTTGGCTGCCGTTTGGCGCGCTGTATATACATCCCATAAGTAGCTGTTGCTTATTAACAGATATCGTCAGCCAGAGTGATTCCTGAACATTGTTCAACACTGGGTTATCGAACGTTGCTGCTGTGAGCGAGTTTTTCAGATAAATTACGCAGCCACCACCTCGACGACCAGGCCGATTCCTCATAAACTTGTTATATCCGAAAATAGTTAACTGAGTGTCAGACATGCCATCATGGCACCAAGATTCAGTTATAAATAACATATCAGGATTATTCACCAAAACAAAGGAGCGTAGGGTGTGGATCTTAGAGTAAAGAGATCGAATGTTTATCAAAAATACTGAGATAGATGTGAGATATGAGGAAGATTCATTAGATTGTGTTATAAACACTGGAGTGTCAAGCCGTGTGCATGGGCCCAGGTTAGAAATTGTTGAAAAAGTGCGCTTATTGCCAACGGTGGAAAATGATTTGGAGGTGACCACAGTGGAGGGGTTGAGACTGAGTATGGCCCTCTAGAAAATGGTGTGAGGGAAAAAGTCCTTGATTACTGTAATAGCCTGTGGGAGCTAAAGGGTTAGGTTGTATCCTCTGCAACACGTCATTAATAGGCTGTTGATTTCGTAACGCATTGATAGGATTCAGTGGATTGCTGTTATTTCCTTTTATGGGTAAAATCCTCTTACTTGCGCTCGATATACAAGGTGTCACTATACGTGGTGGAGACACACTGGTGTCAATCCATACACCAACATCAGCATAATCTATGTGGTTCGTTGATGGGTTTGGAATGTCTTGATACCCAGTTACACCATGTGTAAGGTGCAAAGATGGCGGCACGTCTTCCATAACTTTATGATCAATGGGTGTACGTCTAGCCAAACAAAATGACGATAAAGAGTCGGCCAAAGATGCTTGCGATAAATCAAGGTCAACCGTTTTTTTTACTATCAATCAATTTGACCGGATCCATCGAGATTCTCGATGAGGTTGGACACTGGCCAAAGCAGACTTTAGGCGGGACATGACAGTTCGAGGCTTGAGGTAGCGCTTTTGCATGCAACTGGGGTTTGGCAGGTAATGCAGTTGTTATTCGCTGATCCCCAATGTTGTCACTTCGCATAGAGGAAAGAGTATTAGGAAACCCTATATGACTGCCAGAACTGATTATCCAAGAGGAAGCACCATGTACATCATTAGTTTTGTGGATTGTAGTCGTTTTAGGCTTGGTCGGCTTAACACGCTTAGCCGTGAAACTGTGGTCTAGTGGGGATCCTCCAGTAACCAATTTTACATCTGACGTTGACCTTAGCTTCGAAGGGCGAGAATTAGGTGTTCTACCGGACACAGCATCTATTGCAATAGAGTGGCCCGCATATGCATGTGATTCTTTGTTAATTTCAGAAATCACTTGGTCATCCAACGCTTCGTCCCTATTTGCAGCAAGCGAAGTATTATCTTCACATTTGTGCTGGCCACTAAGTGGAGCAATATCAACTGGG